GTCTGGGAAAGGGCTAAATGCATAAAGGCAGGTGGGGGATGTGTTTTGCTGGGAGATTATGTTGTGTCAATCATTTGAGTAAGGGAGAGCTTGCTTGTTTTGAAAAATAATCCTGTTTGTTATCTGGGCTCAAATGTTGACTGATATCAGTGGAAAGTACAAAACTGTATTCTGTCTTTTTTTTTTTTCTTTTTAGTGTATAAGGTGTTACTGCAAAATAATAGATAGGAGAGGATTTGCCCATGAAAAGAAATTACTTATCCTAACACACAGTTTCTACTAACTCCTTCAAAGTAGTCACTTTTGGTATGTTTGCAGCAATCTTATGAAGAATACTAGTAAAAGACTGTACTAAATTTGGTTTACATATACTATTCAATTTCTGTAAACTTTTTGGTAGCATTTTGTAGGTAAAGTAGGTTTTTGTTGCTATTATAAACCTTTGGTGACTAAGACACCGTATACTTTTAAATTTTTTTTTTTTTTTTTTTTTTTCAATTAAAAAAAGTCTGTTAATATTTGCATCTGAACTTTGTACTAAATAAAACTTTCTTGCTTACTATTCAATTTTTTCTGGCTTTATTACTTCCAAAAATTCTATGGTGCACTTTTATAGTCTCAAAAGAAAGTACAAAGTAAATCATAGTTTAACTTATTAATAGTAGATAAATGTAAATTCAATTAATACTCAACTACAAATGATAGAAATTTCTGCAGCACTTAATGTGTGAATATTACTTGTAAAAATGTTATCTTTGTGTTTTTATACTTGCTAAAAAACAATTATCTTTTAATTTCCAAGAATTGTATGAAAAACAATATCTATAATCTATGTGCTTACTTTAGATTTGCTGCAGTGTGTGTGTGTGTGTGTGTAATATATATATATATATAATATTTCTAAATAAACTTCCGGTTTAACAGTTGCCAATCACACCTAAAAGTTTCATGCGTTTTCATGCAATCCTCATGTATTTGGTAACTTTTGTGAAAACGGACATTTTTATACTCCTTTGGCAAGTTCAACATGTTACAAGGGTAGTTGCATATGTGTACATGCTATGCACACAACAAACTCACCAGGGGTGGAAGGAAATGCCTACCTGTCCAAGATAGAAATGCTGAAAAATTCTTGTGTGTGGGGTTGGGAGTGGGGGTGGAATTAGGCCTGAAAAAATTCAAAAGTGTGCCAAGAAAGTACTCTATAGCACGAGAAACAGTAGGGCCTCAGCAAAGGAGCCTAATGCTAACAGTAAAATAGTGGTCCCTCAAACTTCGCTCCCTGCCCCGAGCATATGATTAGAAATGTTAATGTCCTGCCATTTAATATGGCATTGAGCTCTCTTTCTCCAGTGTGCCTCTGTAGCATACTCCCTTAGGAGTTTTTACTTTACATTTTATTTAAATATATATTAATCATTTCACCTCAAGCAAAGTGATAATGCCACTAAGATGCAATGGGTTACTGGGAGTAGAAGATAATAAGAAAACTTTAGTGAGGAGAAAGGATAATAAAAGAACAAGATTCAGGAAGACAGAAGATGGCGATTGATGTTGCATTTAATTCATTGAATTTGTAAGTGGCAGGGAAGCAAGAAACTGGAAGTGATTTCCACAGGTGAGAAGTGTGAAAAAAAGAAACTATTAGGATAGGACTTATGGTTACATCTATCTAACTCAACAGTAGAACAGTGAGACCTAATTGCCAATCTAGTAGTACACTTGAAATCATATAGTTCTTGTATCAAGGACGAAAACTCATGAGGCAGTTGCCATCAAAATATTTGTAGAAAAGACAGAGGGAAACCATGTTATATTGCTCTGTTCTTACATTAACCTCTCTTTGGATTAATGTCCTCCTTGGAATAATCTGTACTAATTATCAATTTATGCATATATATAGTTCTATGAATTTAGATTATCTCTGTAAATAAAACAGTTCTCTTATTAATGTAGATTAGTTTTGTAAATATTTGCGATGTGAATGATTGCATGTTTATTTTTTGCTTATATTAAAAAAAAATGTTTTCATTTTTATGGTAAGATTTAGCTAATTGTTAATTCTTTGAAAATTAGATAAAGTAAATTTGAATTTTTTTCTTTTAAATTGATGCACAAGAGTATATAGGTATTTTTACATAGGCACTAATATTCAGAGAACTTAAAACGATTACTTGGTTACTTATTTTAGTGCCTCATATTACTTATCATTACCATGTGCCGTAGATAATCAACAGTGCCTGTTTATAGCCATCTGTCAGTTATATTGTCAAATGCTTTTACATTTACATAAGCAGTTGTATAATCATTCTAAGTCATGTGGTTAATTAAAATAAGTGCTATGTAATTTATTGTGTTTTAGTAGTTTTGGTTTTCCAAATATCAGTAACCAGTCACATTTTGGAGTTTTTTTTTCTTTCCTACAAAATTCATTAAGACTTCTATTTTTGTGGGCATCTTCATGAAATTTACATTGCCTGCTCTTGATATATATTTTTACGTTTTTATTTTTTCAATGATGTTCACCCTGTACAAGGCCCAAGAGCGACTTGAGGTAGGGGGTTACAAAGTAAAAGATACAGTTTATGGGGATATGTGGGAAAGTTAATGGTTAATCCTCGACTTGAACAGGTTAGGATTGTAAGGATCGAAGAAGCATCTTCTTGAGAGTCAGTTCCATAAAGCAGCAGTTTGGAAGAATCTGTTCAAGTTGAACTTACATCTCACCATTGGAATACACAGGGATTGAGAGTGGTTTGCTATAATGGTCATTGCATGGCAGGTCTTAGCTGTAAAGGTTAGAACTGGTGGAACTAAGGAATGTAGTTTGTCTGAACATTTTCCATGGAAATATCAGCAATATTTCATCTGTAAGAAAGGGATTTGAAGGTGGAAAATAATTTGTCACCCACAAGGAGGCGGAGACACTTTTGGACTCTGTTGAGACTTGAAAGTGAAGACTGGGTAACTCCTGTCCATATATAGTAGAAGTACTCTATTTTCAGCCTGATCTGGCTCTTGTAAAGGTAGAGGATAGCATGAGGAATCAGGTACTTACTTGAGCAGTACAGGAAACCAACCATTTTTCCAGCATCTTTAGCAGTGGATTGTATGTACGAGTTTGGTGAAAGTTCTGGGTCTGCATGGTGGTGATGAAACATTACTAATTTGATATTATTATTTATTTATTTATTTTTTTTAATTTTTTTTTATTTTTATTTTTTTTGAGGCATTTAATGTGATCAGCCAGTCCCCCCCCCCACTGATCTGTTAAGTTCAGAGGAGAGATCATCTGCCAAGCTTTGGTCATCTAGAGTTTTGAAAGTGCATCCATATACTGCTGTATCATCAGATATCTGTAGATATTCATAAATGATTGGAATATACTCTTTGGCAGATCCTTTACATAAAGTAGAAAGAGGGTTGGACTGAGACGTGAACCTTAGAGGTGTCTGCCTTGATCACTTAGGCCTTGGGAGACTGGATTTTGAAACAATATTTTTTTTAAAAAAAAATCATTTTACCCCAAGCAAGGTGGGAATGCCATTGGAATGCAGAAGCTTAGAGAGAGAGTGAAAGTGAGAGAAAAGACTGGTTATAGGGGGTCACTGAAAAAAGTATAAAAGCTGAACAGGGTTCAAGAAAATAATTGGCAATTGACATTCCATTTAAATTTTTGAAGATTGTAATTATCAGGGAAGCAAGGAAATGGAAGGGAATTCCACAAGTGAGAAGTGCAAGAAAAGAAACTGTTGGAGTAGAAGTGGTGGTTACATTTAACTAATTCAACAGTAAAAGGGTGGGACCTAAATGCCAATCTAGTAGCATGCTTAAGCTCAAGTAGTCCAGGCAACAGGGAAAAAAGCTCGTCTGAGCAGTTACCATGAAAATATTTGTATAAAAGAGAGTGGGATGCCATGCCATGTCAAGTCAGTAAGAAAAGACTGAAGTCGATATGCCAAGTCAGGATCGATTAAACTGCAGATTCTTCTTTGGCTTTTGTTAAGAACCTCGAGGTGAGTAGGAGGAGCACCTGACCAAATTTGGCAACAGTATTCAATGCACAGATGAATGGTAGATTGGTAAATGTGCAAGATGGACTCTGATGAGAAAAACCTTCTGGCACAACACAGTGACCAAACTTTCCTTGTGGTAGATGTAGCTATTGATTCAATGTAGTAGTTCCACTTCAAGTGGTTGATTTTGTCAGGTTGAGAACTTTTCAGCACTCCTCTTGATTTAATGAAATGAATTCTCTTAAAATGGTTTCTTTTTGTCCGTTTTTTTTTGGAAATCTAATAACAAAGTTCAAAATCCTTTGCTTTGTCAGCATTTCGACATGCCACATTTTTGACACTGTCTTATTTAGAATTTTTAACAGCATTTTATTTATTTATTTTTTTTTTTAATATTGTTAGATACAGTAATAGTAGTTTGGGGTATCCTTGTTAATTATCTTAATTGCCATCACCACACCCGCCTCCATGTTTGATAAAACAGAAAAGCAGCAAATTTACAAACTTACTTACTAATTAGGGAAGGACAAACTTATTACTTAATGGTAATGATCTTTGAGAATAGCTTGTTAACCATTACACCAAGAATGGCTAATTTTGAATAGGTTTCTTCTTCAAATCCACTGATATATTTTCTCTTGGCATTGTGCTGTAGTATCTGCATATTCTTTATTTTTTTTTTTTTTTTTTTTGTCAATCCAGTTTTGAACATAGAACTTATTAGTATTGTTAGATAACAAATCGTTTACTAACATTGTATGTGAATTACTAAATTGAAATATTTTTTGAATTGTGAATTTGTTTTGTGTGAAACTGACAAATAGACTGACTTTAATTGGCAAAAGAAAAGAGAAAATAAAATACAAGAAAAAGAGTAAAAAAAAAAAAGTATATATTTGATAGTTTTTTGCATCTGCCACTAACCTAACAAGTTTCATCTCCATGAAGAGTTCTGCCTTTAACAAAATCTTTTCTTTTGCACAGTGGCATAATTGGAATTCTGTCTTTGGGACTTTTCAAGATAGAACTATCAAATTTTATCAGGTATCAAAAGCATTTTTCCTCTGTATGACTGATTGAGAGAAGAAAAAAAAATCAAATCCCAATTACACCATATTGCAAAAAAAAAAAAAATAGAATTTGGTGTCCAAGAAGGCAAATAGGAAATAATCTCTTTGATCAAAATCTTAATGAAAATTTGAGTTTAAAAATTTTATAGTGTAAACATTTGTGCCTTTTTGCATTTAATGCATGTGCTTATTGTTGTCATGAAGCAGTTTTTGTTATCTTAGCAGAACATGTAAAATATTTAAACTTACATTTTCAGCATTAAATTCACTTTAATCCATTGAACCTATAATTCCAGTCTACCAGTGCAGTACTCTGGCATTTAATTGCTAAAAAGAACTACACAGTCAAACATAAGTAGAATAAGGCTGTTTATATGAGCAACTTTGTACTGGCCATTTGTTGCTTTTTCACTGCTGGTTTGTTGTCTGAAACAGTGAACTTTACCCAAATGACTACAATTTATCAGCAAGTAGTTTATCATCAGGGTTCAATGGGTTAAGTTATGGAAATTTCATTTCATGAGGGGAAGAAATGGCAAGAACTCTTAAAACCTGTTATCTTTGTATAAACATTTAATTTTTAAAAAATTTTTTTTAGAATTAATTTAAGAGAGAAAAGAAAATGATTACTTTTTCATATTTGTCTTCTACTTTGTTGAAAAGTCTTGTCTTCTGATAAATAAGACTTTTGCAAGATATTTGAAGAGTGACACAAAAAAATTAGTCAAGTGTCTTTTTTTTTGCTCTCTCTACCTCAATGTTCAGTTAATGTCATGCTGTAGAAAAGTCTTTTCTTAGCAGCCAACCTTTGACAGTTTTAAATAGTTTTGATGTTATAGAATATAAATGAAAAAAAAAAATACCCCCAAAACTACTAAATGTAAGCAGGAAAAAGGTAAATTTTTAAAAAGAATTTTATGAAAAATTAACTTGTTTGCATGTGGTTAGTCATGTTACTTTTCACATCTCTCTTGCCCTTTCAAATGACATTTTTTAATATGATTGTTGCAAAGTGTGTATATATATATATATATATATGTTAAGAAATGGACAAGGTCCGACAATTTATTTATTAAAGACATTTTTATTTATTAAAGACATTTTTATTTATGTTTAACGTTGCGTATATGACAGTTCCGTATAGGATGCAGGTTCGAATCCTGTCTATGAACGAATATTTTCTATGAAAATTTCTCGGACATTCAGGCCGGTAAATGTTATTTAATACTGTTTATCTTAAACAGAGCATTTGCTTAAATACTTGTATCTATAAAATAACAACGTTAAACATAAATAAAAAATGTCTTTAATAAATAAATTGTCGGACCTTGTCCATTTCTTAACATATGACGTCATTTGTTTACATTCGACACGCCAGAGCAGTTATGAATGCGAGATTCATGGAAGATTGTAGTTTATAACAGTAAATTCGACCTTGTCTACCATAAGGTTCATGGTGGCCGAGTGGTTAAGGCATGTCAGCGTATATGACAGTTCCGTATAGGATGCAGGTTGAATCCTGTCTATGAACGAATATTTTCTATGAAAATTTCTCGGACATTCAGGCCGGTAAATGTTATTTAATACTGTTTATCTTAAACAGAGCATTTGCTTAAATACTTGTATCTATAAAATAACAACGTTAAACATAAATAAAAATGTCTTTTATATATATATATATATATATATATATATATATATGGCAATGTCTAACCTTCATGCCCACATAAAAATGGCATGTCAAAAGTATGGATTTTCCCATGACACTGTTATTTTGTACTACCTTCACTCTTGCATCAATGTTAATTTACAAGATTATAAAAATATGTGACCCAAGTACAATGCAATATTATTATTTACTTTTTTATAATGGTTCTCAAAACTCACACCTGACCTCAAGTGGAATTCCTATATACAATCCATCACTAAAGATACAAGTAAAATGATCGACTCCCTGTATCACTCCAGTAAGTACCTGACTCCTCATTCCATTCTCTACCTTTATAAGAGCCAGATCAGGCTGAAAATGGAGTACTGTTGCCATATTTGAGTGGGAGCTGTCCAGTCTTGATAGAGTTCAAAAGTGTCTCTGAGTTCTTGTTAGAGAAGAATTATTTTTCACACTCCAACCTCTCTCTCTCTCACAGGTGGGATGTGGTGAGTCTCTTGCTGCTCTATCTCTACTACCATGGGAAGTGCTTGGACGAACTAAATTCCTTGGTTCTGCCAAGTCTAACATTCACGGCTGGGACCTGCCATGCCACTTACATAGTAACAAACTACCCACATTTCCTCTGTATTCTATCGGCAATAAGTTCCACTCAAACAGCTTCTTTTCGTGAACCACTGCCCTATGGAACAAACTCCCTAGAGGATGTTTCCTCGATCACATCAATCTTAACCTGTTCAAGTTTAGAGTTAACCGTTGTCTTTTCCTCCTATCCATGTAATCTACTTCTTATCTACCTTGAGTGGCCTTTGGGCCTTGTACAAGGTAAACCTGTCTGTAAAAAGATAAAAAAAAATGAAATATATTTTTAATTAAAAAATTCTAAAAAAAAATTATCAAAATATGTAAACCAACTACAATGTAATATTTATTATTTATCTTTTCATAAATAACTATGAAAACTTTTTTATTTCTTTATAAATTGATAAATGATAAACATTGCATTGTATTAGTTGGTTTATTTATTTACAAGAATGATTTTATATTTACAACATTCTAAAAACACAATCTAAAAACACAATCTAATCAATAAATAGTGTTTAATATCTTTGTTGTCAATAACTCAAGAATAAAGAAAATGTATAAATGCAATTTCATATGTTTGGGTTTTATTAAAATTCTGATAATTGCTTTTTAATACAATAAACATTGCTGGGGGAGTGAATATTTTTATGATTTAGTAAATCTTTATAAATTTATGGATAAAAAATTATTTTCATATTTCTTTATAAATTGGTAAATGATAGACATTGTATTGTAGTTGGTTTGTATTTTTATAATGTGGTAAATATAAAATTATTCCTGTAAATAATCTAATAAATGAATAGTTTAATATTTTTGTTGTAAATTCTCAAAGAAAAAACAAACTACAAATTCACTTTCATATGTTTGAGTTTTATTAAAATTCTAATCATCACTTTTTAAAACAAAAAAATTATTGAATGACGGTAGTTAAATAATAGTGTTGTCAAGGGAATAACTGTCCCTTTGACACACCATTTTATTGCAGATACAAAGGTTAAACTTTGCCATATATGCTTTATAAAACTTGTTGTTCCTTCTCTTTGTTTTTATGATACTGGAAATACTATTAATGCTGTCAAAGATTTCAAAAGCCTTTTTTTCGTATTGTGGTATAGATTGAATATTTACTGCTTTTAATGTAAAGAAAATCCTGCTTATGAAAAGTGTTTTGTTTTGCGTATTAATCTATGTTTATGGAATGTAAAGGTTGTGTGTGTGTGTGTGTGTGTGTGTGTGTGTGTGTGTGTGTGTGTGTGTATATATATATATATATATATATATATATATATATATATATATATATATATATATAAAACATTACTTAATAAATAGAAGATAAAATACTCAAGTTCTGTCTTGGAATATTAACACTGTATAATTTTCTTGTTACTCTTTTGTCCATTTGTATACTTCTAAAATTTTCAATATTTAATTTGTGCAAATTAAGACGAGTTTTGATAATCATATACTCCACCCCCCAAAAATTCCTACCCAATTCACTTAGTCCATAGGACTCCTGTGAATTCACTATTTAAAATTACCATTTTGGTGGATTGTTTGGTATTAATTTGATTAACATGGCTGACCTGGCTTGCTTTTTGTATTTATTGCTGTCTTTTTACTTATTTTAGTAAATCATTTTGCTTCACTTTGTATTGAATAATAACCATATCAGTTCCTTTACCAAATATACAAGGATTTATATACTTTAGACATATGTGAACTCCCATCAGTTCTTGATATAACAATTCAGTTCTTAGAACCAAAATGAGACTACCTACACATATGATTCGATGAAACTGGTGAAGGCTTGTGTAGAACCAGTCACACTTTTCAAAAGGACTGATAACAGAAATAGTGCACAGTATTCTGTTAAGCCTCTAAAGAGCCTTTCACATTTGAATTAATGTAGTCCTTTTAGAATGGTTGCTAACCAAAGGCAAGATAGCCCAATCTCCCTTGCTATTTAAACCATCGCTAGGAAGAATACATGGATTCATGCCTTTTCCAAGTGAATTTGCTATTGAGTTGCTATTACACTAGACACAAACACACACACATATATATTAGGCTTTTGACTTGGCTTTTTGTAAAATAATTGCTTTCCTGCCTCATAATTCGATGAAACTTGGTACAAAAATAATGAAGATGGGTTTAATTCAGTTTATTATTTAAAAAATGTCCTACCCAACATAAAATTTCTAAAATTGTATATAAATGTAGTAGTACTATAACTTTCTGGAACCTTTTTAGAACTTGTTTTTGTTTATTTGTAAGTTTGTATATTATGCTATAACTATAAACTGTTAAATACGTTAAAAATACATAAGTACGTTTCAATTACATCATTAGCAAAATGACAAATATTGCCTCTGAATTTTTTATTCTACCTTTATTGTTTATATGATAAAATTGAATTTTCTGTTTTTGGGTGACCTTTTATTCAAGAAACAAGGTAATGTCTTTCATTACTTTTGAACAAAGTTCATTGATTTTTGACACAGGAACATAGGCTTACAAAAAAGTCATAAACCTAATATATAATAAAATAATTTGTCTACGTGTTCAATTTTTAAAATGAAAACTTTGGGTTTGAAATCTTTTTGAGTGTTTCTTAAACTTTTTACTCTTGTGTCACTCTTGAAATAGTTTTCATATTTCAGGGAATCCCCTGAATAAAGATTATTATATACCTTTAATTATATCTGTCTCTTGTATTT